TATATAGAGAGCTCCAGCCAGCTAGTCTATGGATAGGATTCCTGACAGCTCGTCCAGGGAGAGACCCCCAAGAGCTCCCCCATCCCTCCCGATAGTCTATAAAGACTTCCTTCTGCTCGTCTAAAAATACTCCCTTGAACTCGTCTTTGAAGACGTTCTTTAGCATGTCCAAAGAGACTCTCTTCAACTTCTCTATGCCGACCTTTCCCAGTTGTTTATAGAGACCCTGTTCATCCTATCTATGGAGCATCTCTTCAACTCGTCTAAAAGAATTTCCTCCGCTCTAGCCTTCTATAAGTCCTTTGTGCCAACTTCTGTTCCCTTAAAGTCCGCCTTGTGAATTGTGTTAGCGAGTGTGTGTTATTCGTTCGAATTTATCTCCCACTGTGTTAAATCTTCAACAATGAATATGTGCATGTATGTGTGTGTGAGTCTACAGACTATGTTGGCCCGTTACAAGGAAAAAATGAACATATTTGTAATGTTCGTTCGTTTAATTTTCATTTTTAACGTTTTTTGCTCATTTACCAATAAAACCCCCCTTGCAATGAAAAAAAAGGAATGCAGAGCAACAAAACGTTACGAAATGAAATGAAAGAAACGCGATCCGGTTTCTTTGCCAAAATTGCTTTTTGCGGAAATTGAAATGTTTCCACAGTCGTTCGTTACTTTTTTTGTTTTTTGGTTTTTTGGCGAATGGTTTCTTTTGTTTTAAAATCCGGAAAATAAATGGCGACAAAAGAAACACAAGAAGACATTTATGTTTGCTGGTGTTGTGGTGGTGTAATATGAGCACAACTTATACTACACTGGCGACGGCAAACAACATTTTTGTATTGTTTCCGTTTTGGTGGGTTTTTATTTGCATTTGAAGCCACTCACCCGCTTGCCTCCCCTCTCGTTGCTGATGCATCACAATATCCCGCAATCAGAGCCGTTTCTCTGCTACATTGCCACAGATTCATTTTCAATTTTTGGAATATGTATGACGGCGACAAAAGAATGTCAACGATGGCGATGACAATACTGAAATGCTGAAGTGCAGGCGAAGGCGAAGTAGTAGTTCAGGGTATTCTTAAGTAAACAGCCAAAAAAGAAAAATATATGTAACCACAGAAATAGAAACAATCAAACCGACACACGTACATATGTATGCATGTTTGTATAAACCGAAATCAAAACTATTTTTCTTCCGCTTTTGTGTGTTGGCCTTTGTGATTTTTTGCAGTTTGTTTTGATTCCACACAGCACCAGTTCTGTAATAAGAATCATAAAATATTTGTAACATATTAATTGTGGTCCACATATTCAAATTGCCAAAAATGAACACTGCTGGAACTAAGTGACATCACCTAAAAATACAAGACATTGGCAAAAGGCAAGTTTAGATAAATTGCAAATAAAATGTTTGATTTTTGTGTCAAAGGAAAAACAGAGTGCTATTAAGGAAACATTGGAATATTAAAAGAAAATCGCAAATATTTTAAATTTTCAAACATTTAAAATTTATAAATATTTTAAAAAAAATTTAAAAATCATAATTTTTTTCAAAATCTAAATATTAAACCTATAAAGTCATTAAAATTTATGAATTTCAAAATTTTTAAAAATTGCTCGATTATTAGACCATATAAATATCAATTACTTCTGGAAAATATTGTTCAACAAATCAAAATTACTAATCTTTCTAACAATATTCTTTAAAATATCAATGAACATGGATAAATAGTCCTTGGAAATTTTTCTTTAAAAAATCAGCAATTAAAGCGTTGTTGTTACTTAAAAATATTCTTCCAAAAAACGCAAGATTTCAGTCTTTTTGTTCCTCCACGATTTCAGCTAAGATTTTTTCTAACAAAATATTCTCTGAAGTATTTACGATTAGAAGTATGTTGATCCTTAAAAAATATTCTATAAAAAAATCCATGATTACAACTCTATTGGTTCTTAAAAATATTCTGTTAAAATCCTCGATTTTAGACCTGTTTTTTTTTAAATATATTTAGAAATGTACGATTCGTCCATTACAATATTTCCAAAATACACGATTTCTGGTGTACTAATCTTCAAAACAATTTCTTTAAAAATCCACGAATGACTCCGGAAAAAAAAAATTAAAAATCCACGAATGACTCCGGAAAAAAAATTTTTAAAAATCCACGAGTGACTCTTGAAGAAAATTTCATTAAAAATCCACGAACGACCCTTGAACAAAGTTCTTTAAAAATCCACGAATGACCCTTGAAAAAAGTCCTCTAAAAATCTTCAAAACAATTTCTTTAAAAATCCACGAATGACTCCGGAAAAAAAAATTAAAAATCCACGAATGACTCCGGAAAAAAAAAATTAAAAATCCACGAATGACTCCGGAAAAAAAATTTTTAAAAATCCACGAGTGACTCTTGAAGAAAATTTCATTAAAAATCCACGAACGACCCTTGAACAAAGTTCTTTAAAAATCCACGAATGACCCTTGAAAAAAGTCCTCTAAAAATCCACGAATGACTCTTGAAAAAAAAAAAATTAAAATCCACTAATGACTCTTTTAAAAAAATTCTTTAAAAATCCACAAATGACTCTTGAAAAAAATTTCTTTAAAAATCCACGAATGATTCTTAAAAAAAATCTTTAAAAATCCACGAATGACTCTTGAAAAAAATTTCATTAAAAATCCACGAATGGCTCTTGAAAAAAATTTCTTTAAAAATCCACGAGTTACTCTTGAAAAAAATTTCTTTAAAAATCCACGAATAACCTTTGAAAAAAGTTCTTTAAAACTCCACGAATGACTCTTGAAAAAAGTTCATTAAAAATCCACGAATAACCTTTGAAAAAAGTTCTTTAAAACTCCACGAATGACTCTTGAAAAAATTTCTTTAAAAATCCACGAATAACCTTTGAAAAAAGTTCTTTACAAATCCACGAATATCCCTTGAAAAAAGTTCTTTAAAAATCCACAAATAACCCTTGAAAAAAATTCTTTAAAAATACATGATTGGTTCTCAAAAAAATCCTTAAAAATTCACGATTGGTTCTTGAAAACTATTCCTTAAAATTCACAATTGGTCCTCCTAAAAAATCCCTAAAAATCCACGATTGATCCTCGAAATTAATTCTTTAAAAATATCTTCCCATTGATCCTTGAAAAATATTCTTTGAAAAATCTACGCTCATTTGTCCTTTTAAAATATGGTCCTTGGTCCTGTTAAAATCCATGCCTATCGGTCTGTTGGTCCATGAAAAATATCCTTATAAAATCCACGCTTTTGGCTCTAATGGTCATTGAAAAATATTCTTTAAAAAATCCACGCTCATGGCTTCATTGGTCCTTGAAAACTATTCTTTAAAAAATCCACGCTCATGGCTTCATTGGTCCTTGAAAACTATTCTTTAAAAATCCATCTCTTCATTGGTCCTTGAAAAATATTCTTTAAAAATCCACCCTCAATATCTCTTCATTGGTCCTTGAAAAATATTCTTTAAAAATCCACCTTCAATATCTCTTCATTGGTCCTTTAAAAATATTCTTTAAAAATCCAGGTTCATATCTCTCCATTGGTCCTTGAAAAATATTCTTTAAAAAATCCACGCTCATGGGTCCATTGGTTCATTGAAAAATATTCTTTAAAAAATCCATGCACGTGACTCCCTTCGTCCTCTTAAAATATTTTTTTTAAAAATCCACGCTCATTGCTCCATTGATACTTGAAAAATATTTTTTTTAAAAAATCCATGCACGTGACTCCCTTGGTCCTCTTAAAATATTTTTTTTAAAAAATCCAATCCAAATATTTTTTAAAAAATCCACGCTCATTGCTCCATTGGTCCTTGAAAAATATTCCGCTTAAAAATATTCCGAAATTATCCCCGCTTCTTGGTCTGTTGGTCCTTGGAAAATATTCCTTGAAAAATATTCTTTATAAAATACACGTTTATTGGTCCTTGAAAAATATTCTTTAAAAGTCTACCTATATTATTAAATATTCTATAGATTCTCAAGAAATAAATTATTTATTTAATATCTTTTAATTTTTCATTAATTTATAGCCAACTCGACTCGAGCAACTACCAAAATAACAATACCCATTGTCCCCCACATTTTATTAATGATAGTTCCAATTTTTGCGCACTCTATCCCTTAACAAGAATACCCACTTCAATTAATAATAAAAAAATGGTGTAAGAGAAACAGAAAATACATTGAAATATGAAAAGAATTAATTTTCTTTTGTTTCCGAAAAACAGGAAAAAAATCATGTCGTCTCAATTGACCAGAATTGTATGAGTCGTCTGGCTGAGAGTAACACGCTCATTAAAGAAGGCTGAAATGGGAAATCCAAAGAAAAGAAACGTCCAACCCGACGAATATAACCACTTCAGATTGAAGTCGTCATGTCGCACAACCAAAAGCTGGCTGGCTGGCAGCTTGGTTCGTGGTGGTTTGGTGTACGTGTGGCCCGTGCGGTACATGCTTCTCAAGTTAATTAATTTAATTTTCCTGCTGTTGCTGCTGCTTGTAACAGTGATTCGCCAAGAAAAGCAAATTGAAAAGAAACAAGGATATATGAAATGAAGTTTCAATTAGTGTTGTTGACATTTTGACGATTTCTCCTGCCAGCAGTAGTAGCAATTATTAATGCTACTTGTTAACAGGCACGGGGGGTTGTAGGGAGATTTTCAGGATAGGCTACACTTGTTTTTGCATGAGAAATGTTTTTTTTTTTTTTTGAATTTTTAATTAAACAAATATGAAATAAACCATTCCAAGAAGGGTGTAAGCAATTATAGCGAATCCGATTCTATATAATATTAACACCTTAGTTCTTGCATAAAAGTTGATGTCTTTATTAATCCAATCAAAGTATAGCCTTATATGGAACAATGGGGCGTATGATAAACATGTTCTCTGTTTTAATGTTTTCATACGCCCCATAGTCCAGTAGTAACATCATTATTGAATTGTAATATATTTTCAATTTATATTTTCCTATTTCTTTTAGGAATGGAATGATATGAACCTACGATGGAATGCCAGCGACTATGGTGGGGTTCGAGATTTAAGAATACCGCCGCATCGTCTCTGGAAACCTGATGTTTTGATGTACAACAGGTATGTAAATTTGAATTCTAATTTATAATTGAAGTAAATTTATTTGATTGTATTTAAATTTTTTAAAAATAGTCGTTGAAACCACAACGAATGATAATTTAGCAATCCTTTAAAATATTACAACTCGTTAACAAATAATTAACAACTTATGACATCATAGAATACTTTAATAAAATTCGATGGTCCTTAAATATTTTGAACTAGAAATCTAACATTTTTTCAAAATATGTCCACGATAATATCTTAGATAGGATAAACCAATTCGAGACCAGCATAAAATTCCATATTTCTGGTGGTAAACTTATTTTTTTCCATATGCCTCCTATATTTGTACGAATAATAATGAATGGTACTAAATTTGGTATTGGTTTAAAGGATAGGGCTCGAATACTCAACTTTAGTATTTAGGACTCAGTTGGAATCTGAAATTGAGATATGGTTGTGATATTGGGTGAAGGAATAGAACTGGAATATTGAAGTTTTAGTAGCAACCTCCTCGGTAAAGATACAACAAAGAGTGGGACCCTGGTCCAAAGATATTTAGATATACCAAGTTTGTAAAGAATCGCTTACTTGTTACGCTATGTAAAAATACTGACAATTGCGCCCCTTTTGTAGGAGAGGCACCAACCTACCCCCATACAACATTTTATGAAAATCGGACAGAATATTAAACACCCAACACATATAGGGTGAGATAAAAAAACTGCAACAAAGTCAAAAGCTATAATTTTTACATTTCTTTTTTTAACGAAATGAATGAAAGCAAAAAATTTCGGAAATAACATCAAATTTTAGAATAAGTTTTGATTTGTTTGAATTGGTCACCTTTGGTACGAATTATGGCCTTTAAACGGCCTTTAAACTGCCAATGCGGTATTTTGGCCCATTCCCGGCGAAGCGCTTGCTTGAGTTGATCGACACTTTGGTACTTTTTAGTGCCAACCTTGGTTTCCAAAATTCTCCAGACACAATAGTCCAACGGATTGGTATCCGGAGATTTTGGTGGCCATTGTGCACAGGAAATAATGCGAGGAACCTCAGTGGGTCTAACTCGCTTCCTTTTCTATGTTACAAGCAAATGCACAAAGACATAATACCCTGACCCTGACCGATGTGGTGTAGGGTATGGAAATACACCTAGCCATTAGGCTGCAGAGGGTGTATATCATTTGATACAGCCACAACGTACCTCAACACGAAATCTTTTATAATTTGTAAATAAGCAGCGAAATTCGGCCGAACCGATCTTTTAATACCCTACACCATTTGAAAGGAACTTGAAAATTTCAAAAAAAAAAAATCCAAAAACTACCACTTAAATGAAAACCGTTATATGGGGGCTATACGAAGACGTGGACGTGCATACGAACTTTTTTGCCATAGGTTGTAGTGTCCAGTAAGATTTTCCAATACGAAATTTAAAACGATACCGATGAAAAATGTTGCTGAAATCGTCAAAATACCGAATATAGGGAGGTACCGTTATATTGGGGCTATACGAAGAGGTAGTCCTGCATTCAAAAATTTTTGTCATAGGCTTTTGTACCCATTACGAACTTAAAATATGAAATTTGAAATAATTCCGGTAAATAATTTCGCAAAAATCATGAAAATGCCGAATATAGGGAGGTACTGTTATATGGGTGATATACGAAAACGTGGACCAATATGGCCCATTTACGAACTTAACCTACCTACTGGTAAACTATGCATGTATGCAAAATTTTAGATTTCTATCTCAATTCGTTCGAAAGATAGCGTGATTGCATCAGACGGATAGACAGACAGACAGGAGGACAGAAGGACATCGCTAAATCATCTTAGAATTTTACGCTGATCCATAATATATATATACAGGGTTGCCCATATTCGACGGACCCATGACTCTTTGGGCCCATTCCAATCGACGAGGCTTGTCCGCAGGCAACATTCTTTGCGTCAATTGAATTTTGTACGGGAACAAATGCAAATCAATGCGAATAATCCGTTGTAAAGTGGACCGAGCCTTGCCCAACTGCTGAGAACGGCGTTTTGGGATGTTCTTGGGGACCTCTCAACACTGGCTTGTACGGCCTGGGTCGAATTTAATATATGCCCTCTTCGGATTAGAAAGAGCCTTACCAGTCGAAAATTTTTCGTATAAACGCTTAATGGTGTTCTTAGAAGGCGCAGTTCTCACATTTTTTAATGTTTTAAAAGCACGTTGAGTTTTCACAATAGACTTCTTGTAAATGTCAACTATGTCAGAGCGCTCGCGTGGCATGTATTGGTTCATGGTAAAAATCTGCTTGGACTGACGCTTCAAACGCGGTATGTCATTAAGCGATGTGACACCTCTGTCAAAAGTTATGGCGTTGGTCCGTCGAATATGGGTCCGTCGAATATGGGCAACCCTTTATACTGACTAATACTTTTTTTATTTATTTATTTTTTTTTTTTTTATTAATTTTATCTTTTTTGTTATTTTTTTACTCACATTTAAAATCACTTTACGATATGCAACGAAATATAGAATTTTTACTCTCCATCCTTGTGCATTTTTCCTCCCCTCTATGTATGCCGGAATGTCCGATTTTATTCATATAAAACATGATAAATGGACTTTAAGCATCACAAACTTGTATTCACAATGGCTACATGGCCATTATATGTTGTTGCGCTATGCTCCTCGCTATGCTAGTATGCATAGCAAAACTATTACGCTCGATTACATATTTCGCCCTCTCTCTTCAACACTCTCTCACACACATAGCCACACTAGCACCCCATTCGCCAACAATAGCATTTCTCTGTTAAGCATGTTAACAACAATGAAGAGCAAATCAATTTAGCACAGTCTGGCAAGCTTGGCCAACGAACTTCAGAAAACTTCGTTTTTAAAATGATTTCAATTCACCCACAACGAAAGCCAAATACGCATACATTTATGTTGCATGCTCGATTGGACTTGTATGCCAAACACAAAAAAAAAACGGAGCTTGTTGGTGAGCTTTGGGGATAAAGGATCCCTCTCTCTCTCTCTGTCTCTCGGTCGCTCTTTACACTTGGAATAGTTGATGATGCATAAAAAAGCATTAAAAATTTAGTTTTCCATTTTTTCATTCTCTTCTCCCCTTGCTGCACCCTATGTTGAACCTATTATTGAGGCTGTTTGAGAGTTTTCAACTAAAAAGGAAGAGATTTTCCAAAAACCGTTGTATTTGTTGAATAGAATAGTCGTTGAAGAGCAGATGGACGGACGAGCAAGTGAGCCATGACAGCTGAAGGACAGGATAAGAATGAAAGGATTTTTTTGTGCCCGTCACATCGTTTGAATGAAATTTGAAAATGATTTGAAACGTGTTGTTTACTTTCGGCAACAATCATTAATCATTGGATTTGCTTTGCTTTATTTGTGTGCTGCTGCTGTTGTTGTTGTTTCGGTTCAGTCTTTTTAAGGGTCTTCGGTGATGAATGAATAAATGGACAACAAGTTTATTCAATTTATGAATTGCTTATTGTCGGGAAGATGTTTTCAACAATTTATTCTTTGGAAATATGTTTGAAGAAGATTTATGAGGTTTTAAGTTATTTTAAAGTGTTCAGTTGTTCTTGAAATGGACATATGTCAGTTTTTAAATTAAAGTGGTATTAGAGGTGTAACATGAGCTTAAACTAGATGCGGAGTCTCTCAAATCTCGAATATCTGTATGGATAAATACCGCAATTGAGAAACTGGGCAAGGTGAATTTAAGAGCCCCGCTATTTCTTTCGAAATTTCCAGGCAATTTCGGAAAGTTTCACCAAAAAAGTTTGCAATTTAAAATCAACTTATTCCAAAAATAACCGCTTACCGTTCGAATTAGACAAGTGACATTTGTTCAGAATTAGAAATATGAACGTATTAAAAATATGGAATGCACACTGATAAAAAATGCATTCTAATAAACAGGGTGAGATAAAAAATTGCAACCAACTTCAGACTGATGTCATTTCTAAGCCACTCGTCCGACAGCTGTTAAAATTATTCCAGTGACACTTCATTATATTATTCACAAGCGAACAAAACCATTATGGTGAGAATTTTCCAGAAAAAAAGTTATTCGTGATGGAATTCAAGCATGATAATGTGATCTCTTTATTTTTGGCTGGAAAACCGCATGTGGCTATTGTTAGAACGCCCCAGAATTCAAATGTAAATAAATCTTTTTTGTCTCGTACCATCGCTCGTTATCGTGATACTGGTAGCGTAGCCTGACGTCAAGAAAGTGGACCGAGGAAAACAGCAACATCAGTAGAAATGGTTCGAAACGTAAAGAAGCGACGCGTCGCAATGGCCGAAAAATGGCTCGTGAGCTGAACATATCGCAATATTCCATTCGGAAAATATTGAAAAATGAGCTCGGGGTAAAGCAATTAAAATTCCAAAAAGTGGAATAACTTACAGCGCTAAAGAAAACACAAAATAGACTCAAAAGTGCTAAAGAGTTTCTTCGCTTGACCGAAAGTGATGAACTGCCGAATTTGGGTTTTTTCGCTCCGATGAGAAAACATTCGTTGACCAGCAGTTTGCAAAAAAAAAAAAAAAAAACAAACTGATAGTGTTTACTTGCCAAAGAGGTCAGGTGAAAATGTACACCTCCGGTTGGCCACCAGAACTCAAGCGCCAGCCACGATGATGGTATGGACCGCCATAACAGCCGATGGTCTCTCTCCGTTCGTATTAATCGACTGTGGCATCAGAATAAAAGCCGAATATTATTGCGAAAATATTCTTGACGGTGTATAAAAGCCTTGGGCAGGCAAACATTTTGGCCGCAGACCTTGGACATTCCAACAGGACTCAGCACCATCGCACTCAGCATGCACCACAAATGTGGTTACAAAATGTGGTTCCTCGTTTCATATCCAGCGCACAATGGCCACCAAAATCCCGGATACCAATCCGTTGGACTACTGTGTCTGGAGTATTTTGGAAAGCAAGGTTGGCGAAACGCTTGCTTGAGGAGATTGACACT